GTCCAACTCAATCACCGCGGTAAGATGCCCGGGCTGAATTCAGTGACCGCCCCGGAGGGCGAAGGTGGGCGGCGCTAGGCCAGGCGGTGACCCTTGGGGGCGGGATGAGAGCTGGAGATGGCCAAGAGCCTCAAGACACTTTGCAGGGGCATTTCTTACAAAAGTAGCAGGAAATCCCTCCCCCTGAGCAAAACACAATGAGTAAAGACTAAAGGGAATTCAAGTGGAAAAACGCATGCCTGCAAGAACAACCCTCTGCGCTCCGTGTGGTGCTTTTTCTTTCTGGTAAAAGGCATTATTACTGTTTTTTTTTTTAAAACAAGTCTTTGGAGAAACTTTCCTTGTAGATTACCTCATATGCCTACTCTGCTTGGACATTAGGTGTTTTCGTTACTATACCATGCATACCAAACTGTCCAAAGAATGCAATGCCTGCCAAAATCATTTAGGAGAGTACAGCTATTTGAATGATTAAAAAAAAATGATTTTGAGCTGGGCGCCTGTTACTCACGCCTGTACTCCTAGCTATTCGCGAGGCTGAGATCTAGAGATCGTGGTTCAAAGCCGGCCTGGGCAGAAAAGGCCGTGAGACTCTTATCTCAATAAACCACCCAGAAAACGGGAAGTGGCGCTGTGGCTCAAGTGGTAGAGCGCTAGCCTTGAGCTGAAGAGCTGAGGGACAGCGCCCAGGCCCAGAGTTCAGGCCCCACGACCTACAAACAAACAAAAAAACAAACCTTGTTGGCCCAGTATGGTGGCCTGCGATTAATCCTAGTTTATCAGGAGGCTGAGATCTGAAGATCAAAGTTCAAAGCCAGCCAAGTGACTACTAAAATGCTAGAAGTGGGGCTGTGGCTCAAGTGGTAGAGAGTTAAACTGATTCAGCACAAAAGCTCAGGGACAGCGCGCCAGGTTTTGAGTTCAAGCCCCAGGATGGGTTATATAGGAATGAATTTTAAAATTCTGCAAAATTTGTGAGGTTTTCACTTAGTTTTTTTCTTGTTTTTAAAGAGTAATGCTATGAAACATTTGTCTTCCTTGAATAGACAGATGCTTGGGAGTTCATCCTAATGGTTCCACACCCAAGTGAACAATTTTTAAGTTACTTCTAACAATTAAACTCCAAGCAGTTGAATTGAGGAGCCCCAAACTCCTTTTATAAAGATATGGAACCAACCCAGATGCCCCTCAGTAGATGAATGGATCAAGAAAATGTGGTATATATATATATATACACAATGGAATTCTATGCCTCCATCAGAAAGAATGGCATTGGCCCATTTGTTAGGAAATGGAAAGTCTTGGAAAAAATTATATTAAGTGAAGTAAGCCAAGCCCAAAGAAACATAGGTCCCATGGTTTCCCTTATTTGCAATATCTAGTATATGTATGAGTCAAGCAGAAAAGGTCAGATAAGGTGATGTTAGGAAAATGAACCCCAAGATATGTATTCAAATGTTTTTTTTTCTTTCATGCATTTGTTTCTAACGCATTTATAAGATTATTTCTTTGTTGCTTTGTATGTCCCTCCTCCACAGTATAACCCCTGCTTTCACTGTATTTGATGTCGGTATAATTTGTGGAGGGGAAGGGGAAAAACAAGTCGTTTAAATAAGAATACAGGTGGACCAGTTGCAACAATGAGAAGTACAAGTTATCATGTCAAAATGAACTTTACAACTTTGGTGGTGGGGGGGAGGGAGGATTGGAGGGGGAGGCTGGGAAGGGATGGGAAGGGGAAACAAAGGAGGAGGCTACAATGCTTAATAAGAAATGTACTCATTATCTTGCCCATGTAATTGTAACTCCTCTGAACAGTATTTTCACAATAAAAAATAAATAAAAATTAAAAAAAAATTTTCTTCACATGCCTTTTCATGAACCAAAGGTTACTACAGGTAGTCATTAAAAGAGTGACTAGCTCCCTGATCTGTCTCCCACTTCTCTTGTCCTTGTTGTGGATGTCTGGGGTGGGAGACAGGGAATAAGGCTCTGAGAAATCTCACGAGTGTAAAAGGAGGGAGCTGAGAACACTAGAATCTGGGCTTCAAGAGGTGGACCAGCTCAGAGAGCCAGTTGTAGGACAAACAGGAAGGACGATGCCAAATATTTTGGTCCTCCTGGCTTCAAATATTTTGTCTGCTTCCCTGGATTTCCTTTATTTCTCAACTGTACTTTTTCTTTGAGAAAATAGTCCTTAAAGAAAAAGAATTTTTGCCAGGCATTGGTAGCCCATGCCTGTAAACCCCAGTTATGCAGGCTGACATCTGAGGATTGTAGTATGAAGCCAGAACCTATAGGAACGCCCATGAGACTCTTATCTCCAATTAACCAGAAAAAAAAGTCAGAAGCAGAACAATGGCTAAAGTGATAGATTTGAGCCCTTTAGCAAAAAGCTAAGGGATAGTGCCCAGATCCTGTGTTCAAGCCTCAGTTCTATCCCACCACAAACAAATAAGAGTTCCACTTGAGTGAATGGTGAGGAATGATCATCAGTTACTGACATTTAGTACAACATGAGTTAGTTATACTGATATAAGTCATGTCATTCAAAGGAAAGGAAAGAGTAGTTCAATGATAGAGTGTATTCTTAGTATGTGTGAAGCTTGGAGTTTAATCTTCCATTAAAAAAAGGAGTGGTTGGCTGGGATGTAGCTCAGTGGCAACGCACTTGCCTAGCAAGTGCAACATTCTGGGTTCGAGTCCCAGTACCAAAAAAGAAGACAACAACAACAACAAAAGGAGTGGGGGTTAGTGGCTCACACCTGTAATCCTAGCTACTCAGGTGGCTGAGAGCTGAGGATCACAGTTTGAAGCTAGCTACTCAGGTGGCTGAGAGCTGAGGATTGCAGTTTGAAGCTAGCTACTCAGGTGGCTGAGAGCTGAGGATCGCAGTTTGAAGCCAGCCTGGGCAGAAAAGTCAAGTCCAAGAGGCTATTATCTCCAATAAACTACTCAGAAAAAGCCAGAAGTGGCTCTGGGGCTCAACTCATAGAGCATTAGTCTTGAGCACAAAGAGGCTGAGGGGCAGTGCCTAGCCTCTGAGTTCAAGTCCTAGGACCAGACTGGCTAAAATTAAAATTAAAAAAAAAATAAGAAAAGGAAAAGTGGGCTGGGAGAGGCAAGCTTGCAGCTGGTGGTATGGTGGAGTTCAGGGTAGCATGAATGGAACCCAAGGGCTTGAAGAAAAGGGTTCTGGGTGTGATGATGGATGACAAAGGGAGGAACGGCCCTAAAAATGCTGTAGAGTTTGTCTCTCCTCCAGGAAATGGAGAAAGCTGCCTTCCTTCTTGTTTATCTTACCTTTCATGAACTAACATTTAGCCCTAGACATTACTTAGAATAATCTTCAATTAAAATGTTGATTTTTTTTCATGGACTTATTTAGGTAATTAAACTGTAGTTTATGAGTCCGTGGAAGAACAAATTTCAAGGTACAAGATGTTTTTCATACATTTAGGAATACTTCTACTATTGTAAATAGATAACTTTCATTTGAAAGTTGTCTCTGAGTAGAGGTAGTATAGTTGATTGTATGTATGCCTGTAGGCCTGGCAGCATAGTAGGTTTGAAGCACCGGATTCATTTGAGTCCAAGTGAGACCCCATGTCAAAAGCAAACAAACAAGAAAACAACATAAAAAAGTACATATAGCTCAAGTATCCTGAAGAAAACCCCCCACAAGAATTACTTATGAATGACTGCATAAATGCAGTAGCACAATGACAGTGTATTTTAGAAAAAAAACATAAGCACTGAGAAGATTACAGAGAATAAAAGTTTACCTTTCAAAATGTTAGCAAGAAAACATTTTGGGGGGCTGGGAAAGTGGCTCAGCGGTAGAGCGCTTGCCTTGCACGCCTGAGGCCCTGGGTTCGATTCCTCAGCACCACATAAGCAGAAAAAGCCGGAAGTGGCGCTGTGGCTCAAGTTGTAGAGCGTTAGCCTTGAGCTGATGAGCTGAGGGACAGCGCCCAGGCCAGAGTTCAGGCCCCACGACCGGACCCCCCCCCAAAAAAAACAAAACATTTTGGGGAGTCACCACGACTAGTGCCATTTTGCTATGTAACATTGCTAACATTATTAAAGCTATCAATACTAGTTCACATTACTAATGTTTAATAATGAATACTATTTGAGTATGGTATTAATACTTCCATTGAAATGGGCATTTTCTGTAGTAATTCTTTTAATGAAGCTGTGAGCCTAGTAGGTAAAAAAATAGTGTTTATAACTTCTACATGTTTAGTTGAAAATAAGAATCATAAAACAAAACAAAAACAAAAGCACAGCCAGTCAGTTGGTATGTTTGAAATTAGGCAAGTATCTTTTACTGCTTTTAATCTGTATAAGTCTAATAATACACACAGAAATTGATATGGCCAAAAGGATTTTTATTGCCTGCAAGCTGTTACACTTTGAAGTAGAATAAGGTATATTGATGGAAGCACACATTGGGATTTCTTACACTTGGAAGATGGTCAGAATAGAACAAGACACAAACAAGTACATTGGATAATCTAGTTAATATTGGGGTTTAGAAGTTCTTTACGACCAGAATTACACCTGCAGTACAATTCAGGGTAATAAAACCCAAGGTTATATTTGTTACACACACCATAACACTGACAAATTAACTACAAAACAGATCTGGGACATACATTATAACAGCAAGGTACACAACATTGTAACAGAGGTACAATCGAGTTGGTGATCAGAAGTATATTGTCTTCTCACAATGTAGTATTGTGGAAAATAAACACAGGGCATGAGTTCGATGTAGCTGAGGGAAAAAAAAAGATCAAATCTGCTAAAAAAAATAAATAAAGACCATAAAGGAAAGTTCATCTTCTAATTATAAACAGCCAAAGTTCATTTTAGGCAAACTACACAAAAAAGGATAATCTTCTTCCAAAAAAAATATTTGGCATTTTTCCTTTTACTATATCTTCAAGTTTACTTCCTAAAGAAATACAAGCATTTTGTTGTTGTTGCTGCTGTTTTGGCTAAGACAGTTAAGTATAATTACAATGACAAGGTACACAAAACGATATATTGAAGGTCCTTCTTCCTTTTCCAGAGCTGTGTGTAATCAGCCTTCTTCTTCTTCATCACTGTCTTTCATAGTAATGCCCTGAAGTCCTCCTCCTTCTGAGACAGAGGCTGTGGCCTCCTCCACTGTTAAACGTCTGTGCAGAGTATCATATGTCTTACTGTTCAGTGTTCCTTCTAGCACACCTTGCAATCGGAAATCTCTGTAGGTTTTCTGGAGAGAGAAGAAAGAATTGCATAGGTAAGTAAGATTACGTGCATGCACACATGTCTGTGTGTCTATATGTACAGGCATACGTATTCATTTGGCTTTTAAAACATTTTTAATTAAAAATGTTACTGTTATTATAAAGGTAATGTACAAAGGGGTTCCAGTTATATGTCAGGTAAAGACTACATTTCTTTTTTGGACAATTTCATCCCTTCCCTCACTCTCTCCCAGTTTTTCCTTCCCATCTTCACACACAAGTTGTATAGTTCATTTTCAACATAGTGTCCAGTGAATACCATTACTGCATTTGTTCCCTCTTTGCCTCTCCATTTCTATGGACCTTTTTCTTTTCTTCTCTTTTCTTCTTAAAGCTGTACTAGGGATTGAACTCAGGGTCTCACGCTTGCTAGGCAAGTGCTCTACCACTTGTGGCATAACTCAGTCCCCACAGCTGGCATTTTGAAAGTCATCTTTGAACATGCACTAATGGATTTAGACTGTGGCTGCTTATGTCAGTCACCCTGCTGGTGTATTTCTGGAGAGAAAATTGAATAAGTGATTTTGGACAGTAGTAGTCAAACTATAATCACCATGAATGCTCAATGTGTTGTTACTATGAATGACAAATTAATTCTCTTCCATAAAACATTACTAATTAAACAGAATTTACTATTGGAATAAACTGTAGCGAAGATAACATTTACCTACATACATTTAAATAAGGTATTTTTAGTTTTTCAATAGAGGAGGCTTTAATACTGAAAAAATATATTTCATTTCATAGAATACATTAGTGTTAAGCAGATGTACCGAACAGTGGACTAATCCTATTACTAGTACAAGAAGCATTTTAAGCACTTTTGAATTATAAAATGTATTTACTTGGGATAAATGCCTCTGAGAAATTTGTTCTTGCCCTTTGAAATTCCCTTCAAATGGAAAGTGTCCAGTTCTGATAATAAGCTCCTATAGATAAGGTAATGAAACACGTATTTTCATTTTTGTAAAACTGTAAACTTATGGTTTGTATATTAGAAATGTTTATGTTGGAAATTTGTATGTTGGAGATACACACACACACACACACACACACACACACACACACACACACACACACACACACACACACACACACACACACACACACATCCATGTAATCCTAACTACCCAAGAGGCTGAGATCTGAGGATTTTGGTTCAAAGCCAGTCTGGGCAGGAAAGTCAGTCAGACACATCATCAATTAATCACAAAAACTGGAAGTAGAGTTGTGGCATAGGAGGTAGAGTGCTATCCTTGAGCACAAAAGCTGAGGTACTGTGCCTACGCCCTGATTTCAAGCCCCAGAACCACATGCACGCATATATACAGAAACAAAACAAAGTAACAGATACCCTAGTGTTGCTTCTTATAGAGATTCTTAAAACTCAATAAAACTTTAGTACATTTCATATGCATGATCTGTTACTGCTTCCTTTATGTTTACTTTTTAAAGCTTCAACTTTCCTATGTTAGATTTAGAATACAAAAGAGTTAGACCCCAATGGACTGCCCAACATATCAGCAATGCCAATATACCATTACTCCTTTTTTTTTGGTCCTGGGGCCTGAACTCTGGGCCTGGGCGCTGTCCCTCAGCTCTTCAGCTCAAGGCTAGAGCTCTACCACTTGAGCCACAGTGCCACTTCTGGCTTTTTCTGCCTATGTGGTGCTGAGGAATCAATCCCAGGGGTTCATGCATGCAAGGTAAGCACTGTACCACTGAGACACCTTCCCAGCCCTATACCATTACTCTTAAGTGGTGTCTGGTAGCTACCGTCTTGTTGTTTGCACTTAACAGATGAAAAAAGGTGAAACAAGAATCTAGTATCATAAGTCTAGGAGATCGAAATCAACAATAAAGGATGCTTGATTTTGTTGCAAAGAGCAGGCAGGTTCAAAACACTTTTACTATAACACTGATGGAACAATCAGGGCATTCAGACATTTGAACTAAAGGTAATTATCATGTGAGTTAGGAAGTACATCTTAATCCCTCCATTTAACATTCCTTGTCTCTACTAACTGCCTTATGGGGAAATTAGAACCATTCCCAGGTAGTGGAAACAGAGACTTTTACAATTACTTTTCTGTCTGTTTTCATCTGACTTATACCTACAACATCACTCCCACTCCCAGAAGGCATAGGAAAATGGCATAAGTAAAAAATGATGTAGTTTTTCATTTGTGTAATAGTGATATAGACAATTCGTATGTGAAAAGTTTAACATTGTCTAAGTAAACTGAATTCTGAGAAATACTTAATAGTATATGAATGAAGTCTCCACAGAAAGTTAGATTTACAAAGTACTTTTTTCTTAACACACTATATCCCTTTTCACTTAAAATTTAAGTTTATTTACAAACGTATGAACCCATTGTCCTCATATTCCCTTTTTTTAAAGCTGAATAAGAACTTTGTGATAAATTCATAGCTTACTTGGATTCATAACTTACTATGCCTAATGGAGCCGTAGTTTGGTCTTACACTAAAATCCATGGTAATTCACATTTGACCCAGGGACATAATCTAAAGGATAAATTGTCTAGAGAATTGGGTATCTAACACACATGGCATTACTATCAAAAGGATGAGTGCTCAAGTCTGTTACTGCATTATAATTAGATTTAGAATACATTAAGCACAGAAAATTGTTCCACAATCATATAAGCGAGTTTTTGGATTCCACCTTTTTTAGTAACTGGATTGACTATCCTTTGACTTAATTATCCACAAGTTTGCTATGACTGATTTGAATCATGTATTTGCAGTCCCAAATGTTTTCTAATTTGCAAGCAACAACTAGTTCAGTGAGGAACAAGGGAAAAATATCCTTGCAATCTCTCTTTCTCTCTAATTCATATAATCTGACAGACACTTGGATATCCTCGGTGGTTGCCACAAGGCTTTGGCTGGCTTTTAAGACAAATGCTGGCTACAGGGTATTGCTCACTTGACTTCTTATAGCAAAAGAAGGAGTTGATTGATGTTAACTCTTTCCAAACATCTTATGATCACTGGGGAGAATAAAAATCTAATAGTCGTTTAGATTATTTGGGGGAATTGTACTTTTCCTCATTTCATAAATTGTTTTCATGTTAAAATTCACACATACACACAAAAACCTTTATAGACTTGAACTTTGTATACAATGCTTACTGGGGCCTTCTTTTAAATATCTTTTTAAGTGAGCAATATGAATGAACAGGTTTGTGTGTGTATGTCTTTGTAGAGTTGACTGTTATGTGGATTTTGATGTTTGCAATGGCCACAGAAGAACATCAATGCTTGTGAATAGTAATAACTAGAACTGAAGTGGATCTAGTAGCTTAGATCCTGGGTTGAATGAAAATCTCTGCTCTAATATGCAGGTAAAGTCCAAGTCATCCACATGGGCTTTCATAATTCTAAACACTTTTGTGTGTGTGTGTGTTGGTCATGGGACCTGAACTCTGGGTCTGGGCGCTGTCCCTTAGCTCTTCAGCTCCAGGCTAGCACTTGAGACATAGCACTACTTCCGGCTTCTTCTGCTTAAGTGGTGCTGAGGAATCAAACCCAGGGCCTCATGCATGCAAGGCAAGCACTCTATCACTGAGCCACCTTCCCAGCCACTTAATAGTGTCTTAATAAATCACTGGGAAATGATCATTGCAAATGAAACCATATAAGTTCTGAAGAATTGATGAAAGTGTGTATGGAATTAACAGATAATGCATGAAATTAATAAATTCTATTTATATTCCAAATACAAAATACAATTAAAATATTAAGTGGCTAATTTTCCTTGAATTTCATTGTCAAAATAATCATTGGAAATCATCAAGTAGAACCCCATGATTTGAGTACATGCATCAGCCCAAGGAAGCACTGACTGAGTTTGGGGACTTTCTTGGGCATAGTAAATAATGGAAAGTCAAATTTAGTTATGAAATTAATTTCTCATTTATATTGAATACTGATATTCATAGTGGATACTAGCTTAAGATAAATGGATTAAATTAGAGTACAATTAAATTATTAATGCAAAATTTAAAAAATTACTTGTTTCCACTAAGACTGGCCAATTTTACTGGCAAATTTACAATTTACTGGAAAATTTTATGCATGTATGTTATTGTATAGTATAGTCAGGTTGTATACTCTGATCATATAGAATTTTGTCAATTAAAGTCAATAAAGGTGAAAATAATTATCCTTGGTGCTTGATCATTAGCTATAAAGACATGTAAATATAAGAAAGGAATAACTGAAGAGATAAATGAGCAAGTTTAAAAATGGGTATCTTAATCTTAAAAGCAAAACAGAGCTTTAAGTCCATTAAGTAATATATAAGTTTTGATATCTAAAGCAAAGTAGATATCACCTTGAAAAGATGGCTGATGGTGAACAGCTAATTTGCAATGTGAATCAGAGTACCAATACATGCATATGGAAGGCAAACACATCATTCTATTTTCCTTTTATGAAAACAATCTTAGGTTGAAAGTTATACAAGCTACATTCACAATTTCTTTATGAAATTTAATAACAGGTCATAAGAAACTGTTCTAGATTAGAAATATTTTGGTTATTGTAGCTAAGTATCAAAATTCTGTGGGTGGCAATAATTTTACCGACATTGATGACTGATAAGGTTACCGTTATTGTGACTTATGCATTTGGTTTTATAAGGCAGAAGATTTGCTAACTTCTGACTTTGCAATAGAACATTCCTATTTGTAGTTTCTTTCTAACTTGTATTAACCTAGGTGTGTAGCACAAAAGAGTTTGTATTTAAATTGGACTGTAGGAACCACAAGAGTGATGAAACTGTTTTAATGAAGATAGAAATATCTTTTAAATTATAATACAGTAGTTCTTTACAAACTTAGTGTGTTTTAGAATCCTCTGGGGGGCTTGTTATTACACATATTTGGGGGAAAGATCTTATTTTCAGTTCCTGATTCCTTAGGTATGGAGTATTACCTAAGAACTTACAGCTTTTTTAATAGTGCTCAAAATACAGAAATGGCACTTTGAGGACCACTGCCTGTAGATGTGTGTGTGTGTGTATATGTGTGTAAACATATATAATACATGAGTATGCTGTGCACATATATGTGTCCATTAATTAACAGCTAACATGGAAGTTAAGGGTTTCTGTTTAAAGGAACAATTGATTTTTAATAGCTTACACTTAGGTATCTCAGCTATAATATAGAATTTCTGTTGATTTTTTTAAAAGAAAAGTTGAACTTGTGGTACACTTTTGCTTCCACTAAAATTTGCACAGTGTGAAAAGTATATTAAGTACAACCTATATATTTTAAAACAACTCACTGAATATTAAATACATATTGTTACTTTTCCTTTTGAAAAACATTAATCAAAATGGCCTATTGAACTTCTGTGACACCTGTGTTAAGTTTTGGAAAGTCTTCAGTACTTAAATTGGTAATCTTTTATGAAGAAGGTACATACTTTCAGAGAAATTTGGGCAGTAACATTGTATTAACTTTTGTATCTTGATATAATAAAGTAGCAGTTCCTCCTTATTCTATTGGCAAAGACATTTCAAAAGCACTTAAAATGATTCATGGCCCTAATAAATATAGGAGTAAATGTATAATGAAAAAGCACTTCATTCTTAAGAAAGTCAATGTCAAATCTTTGTGGATCCACTGCATCCAAGTAACTATGCTAGGGGATCTACTAATGTACATTAGCTTACAATGTGATTATCCATGAACAAATAGAACAAGAAAGATAAAAAAAATCATGTTTATCATCTTAGTAAAGATGGAAACTAATAAGTTATTTTTTTAAGTCCTACCATTTACTCAGTTAGGTTACCATGCTTTATTTCTTATATGACAATATCTCACTATTATTTTTCATAGCCTGGTGGGTGATTTATATCAAAACACATTTTGTTTACCTTCACAATCTTGATGAGCGTCTTCAGCTGGTAAATATGAAGCTGGAGGTCTAGTCTATCAGCCAACCACACGCAAATGACTTTCATGGAATTGCTGTACCATTGCTAGAGAGCAGGATGGGGGCAGAGGGGAAAAGAACAAAAAAAAAAAAGAAAGTAAGTAAGAAAGAAAGAAAACAGCCTCTGTAGTATTCATTTAACAGATTCAGTAATGAGGGGGTAATGAAACACTCTGAAATGACCACAGATCAGCACTTGAAGTCAATAATGCTATAATTTCCTGTTAACAGAATTGTATGTTTTGCTAGAAAATCTGCTAAATTGACCTAGGCTGTTCTTTATAGGAATTAGCATTACAGTTTTTTCAGCTGTAACATATTCATGAGAAACAGTGTTTTTGCACTCTGTAGCCCGGTGGCTTGTTTTGCAATTTATGAGTAACAATAGGCACTAAATACATATTATGGGAATGAATGGATGGCCAAGCAGCAGGGGGAAAAACAGGTAAATTATTTTCAAAGGAACATTTCTTATTATCCCACATGTCAAGTTAAAAAAAAAATCAAAGAGTAGGTGTGTTATGAGCTAAGCCATGTAGTCAATACACAGAAATAACATTTTGCAGAAATGGTAAACAATATTCACAGCTTACTAAGCAGTAATCCTCAATCACACCTTCATCTACTTTCAGTTAAGAATTTGCCAAGACGTTTTAAAACCACCTGAACTGAAGAGTTACTGAGGTCACAGGAAGATACATTAAATCCTTGGTATCTTATGAAGATCACAAAACAGATGTTAGCTTGCCAGATTCTGAAAGAATCCCTTTCACTTTCTAGATGTTTTTGAAGGGTTCAGTTTTTTTTCTGTTCATCACAGCTTTGAAACTCTCCTTTAAGGGAATGCCCTGCCCCTATGTAATTTATATGAGAAAAAGAAAAAAAAAGAGAGAGAGAACTTTTGTTGTTTATTTAAAAATAAAGGCAACTGCGAATTAATGGTGACGTTATAAAGGGTTTGGTGCTTAGGTGACAGAGCTAGGTTTTGGTAATATTGTGAAGATAATGTTGCTCACTCAGATGAGAGAGATTTATTGGCACCCATTCAGCACTTAGGAAATGATGATTTTCTAAAAAAGAAGGGATTTTGTGTCTTGTTTCTATTTACATATGATGATAGATTATATGTGTGCATGCATGTGCCTGGTTTTAGTTATTCAAACACAGAAAAAAATCTGAAATATTTTTCCTCTACATAATAAAATAGTGAAGTTAACTTCTAAGAGAAATTTTAAGTGATGTAAGTTTATAATTCATCTGTAGATAAATTTATTAACATTGTAGTAAAATTTAGCATAATAGATGGTATTTTAGGTAGAAATTTAGCTTCCTATTTCATCATTTACTTCTACTTTCCAGTATACTGAACATATATAATAAATGAGATAAGCACATTACAATAAATAACTTACTAAATAATATCAATAAGCAATTTACGGAATATGTCCTGTATTTAAAGTCTGTTTTGGACTATGATTTAAAAAATATTGTTTAATGCCTAGTTTTGCTTTTCCCTGATGAATACTTTCTATTTTTAAAACAGTTTAAATTATCAAATAATATTTATAAAAAGAAGTACCTACACATCAGAATTCTTAAAAAAATAAACTGCTAGTGAATTCATTACCTCAATCGACATACTGAATCTCAAAATGCTTTATAGACACATAAAATAGTTTCCAACATTAATGCCATATTTACTTTTCAAAATTATTTACGACCTGAGATTGAGTTCTGTTTTTACACAGGTAAACACTCAGGTGGTGGTTGGAAATACTCAATGGGTATTATGAAATAATACTTTCACCTCCATACCACTTTCCAGATGATCTAAAATGTCAAAAATGGATCAGTATTTTAAAAATTGTAGTTCATCTGTATGACACAGTAAATTTTCCTGCTTTGTTGGAGAGAAAATAAATGTTATATAAAGTCTAGCAGAATATAATATTTAATCCATTAGAATCTGTGGTAACTATATTCATAGTAAATTGTATAAATTTGAGAGAAATGAAAATAGCCTCATAAAATTACTCCCTCTTTAGATCTTTATGTTCTCAAAATTATCTTTATATAATTTAAAATTAATTTCACTTCATTTCCCATTATGTATAAGTGGTACTTGTGATTATGTGATAATTGAAAGAACATTTAATGTAACACACAAATTATTAATCTAACTTCTTTCACACATTGCCCAAATTACAAATTTAGAGAAGAGGAATTTGGGAACAAACTAATCTTAACTATAAAAAAGAGAGATGAAGAGAACGATGGTTGAATGAAATGTTCAGGCTACTTTACTATCACCTTACTTTTGAAGACAAGCAAATTATTCGAAACAGAAGGCTCTAAGAAAAATAATTCCATCAGATGACAATGTATAATTTTGTTTCCCAAGCCAAGGCATTCTGAAGAAGAATTGCAGCTAAATTGAGCAAATGATTCGGGTAAAGCTATCGCGTACCTTGGAACTCAGCCTATCTAGTCACTTAGAAGAGGTAAGCAAGGAAACCCAGCAAAGGACATTGCTACTTCTTGTACAGGAGGAAACCACCGACGCTCTTCATTCCTTACACACAAAGACACCAAACAGAAACCTTTATTACCTTCCTATTTCTCTCATGCTAGAATTAATATGTCCTTTAAAGCACTGAAAACAGTAGTTCCGTCTCTTGTTGCATTTTTAGAAGAGTCAAAATTAAGTTATCTTCCTTTCCTGCACCAAACCAAACCAACACTCCCTCCCCCCTCCCCAAATCAATCAGTATCAAACAAACAAAAAATACCGCGAAGTGTTAATGTCCAGTAAAGTCTGAGTGCTAGGAAATACATGCTCATTTTGGAGAAGTTAATTTTATAAAGCAACTTCGTTAACTGTTCACTTTTCCCTTCAGGAGATTACTGGGAAAGGCGCTGGTGCTTGCACTGAAGCCCTGGCGATGTCTTTGCTTTGGTCTACCCTGGAATAAAGCAGTAACTGTATATTTTACAGCTTTTTTGGACATCAATTCATGACAGCAGCCTACCAGTTTAACAAAAAATATGTTTTTTTAAAAAAATATTCTTTTTTGTGGTTCATTCAACTCCTGTAAGGGCATGCATTATTTCATTTTCTTGAGATTTCTCCTTTAAAGCAAAAATAAAAGAGAAGGAAAGGCTAGGGTTGACTCTGTGAGACCCTTGTATTTATTCACACTTATTGTGCATGACTGTAGACTGGTAAATCATATTAGCAGCCCGTCTCTCCATCAAGCTGCTACTTGCTTTCCAGCCCTGGGAAGGTTCAACAAATCAACAGGAGCACGGAAAACAGAACATCAGTCTAATCTAGTGTTTAAGGTGAAGTTTTCAAACCCAATCTAAGAAGATCTTTAGAGCAAGCAACAAGCTGAAGGGCTCAGAAGGTGGTATTGACAATGAAAGAGTGTTGAAATATTGAGAAGCGCAGCCCTTGTGCATTTTTAATAACAAGAGGGTCAACAAGGACACAGCTCCCTCAGTGCCAGGAGTTGCCACTGACTATGGAAATTGCCACACCAGGGCTATAAACGCTTGCAGTTCATCAGCTTTCTTAAACAGTTCATCAGCTTTCTTAAACACCCTGAACCCCCTCAGTGGACCTTTAGTCTTGAATTAACAAACCAAAGCAATGAAAGAGGGTGCAGCCTGAATGGCTGGCATTGATCCCCAACTGTGTCAGCACTGCTACAGGCCCTGAAAAACTCTCTCCATTGTCAATAGAAATTGACAAACCTCCTCTCCTAAATAGTGCAGCTGAGCCGGACGGGATCCACGCAGCTGTAAAGGGCTCTGCTCTTGGGGCCCAGGAGCACTAACAATAGAACAAGCATGAGCTCTTTGTCAGTCCCAGACTCGGCAATTTTCTAACAAGGATTAAAGTTGTTTCTCCGCAGAGCTGCTGAAAAGAGATTTAGCAACATACCGTGCTTTCTTCATGCAAGTTAAAGAGAAGTAGTTAAGGAATTTCATTATTCTAGGGACTTGCAGAGATACAAAACAAATATATTAAATATGCACAACTTCCTCTTTCGGTCCAATTTAGAACATTCTGAAGATGATTCTATTAAATATAACACCTACCGCCTGGGAACAAGCACTTCGCGTTTTATTTTGGAAGTTTTATTATTATTTTTTTTTAAAGTCCAGCTGCTTACCACCTGGAATGAGGTCTCAATACATACTAATGCACAATGCCTTTAGACCCTCCACGATTGATATTCCTAAATCTGAATCACAAGACCCCATAGGGTTTATATATCACGGCTGCTTCAAGCAAATAATTTCAGTCAGAATATGGCTTCTGATGATGATGGCAGGATAAAAATAGCTGCTACCCTAGGCCCAAATCTGTGATATATTTTCTGCTTAAGTGTTTAGGTTTTTTTTTTTATTGATTGTGAAGTGGCAAATTTTCATTCTTCCTCAGCTAGCTTGGTGGCAACAGATAAACAACAGAAAACAAAAGAAAAAGGAAGGAAGGAAGGAAGGAAGAGAAAAGAGAAAGAAGAGCCAACACTTTTCAGTGCACTAAGTTGCAAAATAGCCATGTCCACAGCATGAATGTGTTTCTCTTCCAGTGGAGTTGTTTTATGAGTTGAGTCCCTGTGTTGAAATGGAATGATACTTAAAATACTGCCGCTTAGGAAATATAGAACTTTTGTATCTCAAGTTGAACCAAGTAAAAGAATAAACAATATTTTCTTTTATGTCTTAAAGGCTTTTAATGTGATTGAGAAACATAAATCACCCTTAGGTCATTTAGTAGCTTTTGAGAACAACAAAATTTAGAAACATTATTACCCCATATTTTTACTATATTCTAAGGTCAGCAGACATTACAAAAAATTTTAATTAAAGCATTCCTTTTCCCTACAATATATCAACTTAAAAAAACTTACAGCTTTATTTCACTTCCAGTTTAAACACTCAAATGCAAATTTTACATCAACAGTAACTTTGACACAATAATGTCATCAATTTCCCCCCCCCCCCCCCCCATATTCAAGGCATCCAACTGAAGCA